TACTCATACAAAGACCACATACTCATACAAAGACCACATACTCATAAAGCACCCCCCGGGGCGGTGCTTCTGACTGAAATGTCTTTAGGCTATTCCCGAAGGGGTGGGACATTAACATTTCGAGTTCTTATGCACAGTAGAATTGTATTTGTAAATGGGCTGATTCATCGATGTTATGCTCATAGCTGTGCCTGAACTGCAACAGGGCACTGCTGCTTTTTCTTTCCTAATCCTTACTATCGTAATTTTCCTCTACTTCTTTTGTATGTTTGTCACACGCTATTTCCGGTCGAAGCAGACTGTGCTGTTGAAGCTAGAGAGGTGAGCAGAGTTAAACCGACCAAAGTGACAACTTTTTTTTCTATTGGAACAAAAGTGAATAGACATTCTGAAATGTTCCAAAGTTGATGTATGCCACATGTTTTAACATGCAATGCCACACACGTACAAACACTCAAACGACAAAAACCACACTGATAATAAGATGAACATTTAAATTCGTCACGCAGTAGGAATAAATCAAATCTGATCAGTGAACGGTTGGCGAGTGCTCTGGTGTGGTTCGCTCCTTCTTTCCTATAAAAAAAATCTATCGTCTCTAGCTCCCCTCCTTCTTTTATGTGTTTGTTACTCTCTTGTAACACTTCTAATCTTCGGCACTTATATGACCTTTTTGTGTTGCAAGTGCCGTAAAACTCTTACTAAAACAAAGATCTGATGCTGTGCTGTGGCATTTATACATGCATACACACACACACACACACACACACACACACACACACACACACACACACACATTTTCACGTCAATTCACCACCTCTTTGGGTTAGTACGTTCTATTTCATCTTGTCTGTGACCTCGGTCTATTTGCCGGGGGACGTACAGCTTCGCAGCCTGTTATGCGCACACCACAATCACCCACAAATTACATTATTCCTGTTCGGCCTGTAGCCAAGAACGCATCTATAGTTCAGTGAACAGGGGAACGGGACACTTCCTTGCGAAACAGGCAGTGTGACTGAAAGTGTTGCGAAATCACTGAGAATGTTTGTTCTAGTAATTGTAACTAGTGGGGATTCGAACTTGCACCGGCATCTGTGAATTAATCAAGCGTAGCACATTCTGAGGTCTGCATGAGACTGCCGTTCTTAAACACTGAGGTGGGTGGTTGGCAGGTGCTCTGGTGTGGTTTGTTTCTTCTTTCCTTTCAAACATATATCGTCCTTATCTCCCCTTTTTTCTTTTTTATGTTTGTTACTCTCTTGTAACACCTCTAATCTTCTGGCGCTCATATGACCTTATGCAGTTGCGAGCGCCGTAAATCCCTCTACTAAAACTAAACTAAACTAAACACTGAGCTTTGACTATATGCAAACAGACTGATGCCTCTATAAAATCAACATACTCATATAGTAAACAGTGTACAGTTGACTATCATCGTTGCCTCAACGTCCAACTTACTTACTTACTACCCATTACGCCATCTGGCGTTTAGGGCAGCAACAAAGGATCTCCAGTTCTGTCTGTTTTGGGCCATCTTGGTCAACGTCCAAGCTAGGGTTTAAACACGACGTGCTTTCATTATCATGGTCTGCACTTTGTCTTCTACAACAATTTGGAGTGAAGAGGTCAACATATAACCTTGGGCACCTTTCGTTATCACAGCAAATCGTAACGTCATTTAAGTGTACAGACGGTCCCCAATCACCCTTTTGGCACATTGATATAATTATACAGGTGCTTCTTTGGGGTCGTGGAGCGGTCTTTGGAAATAAGACGGGGAAAAATGAAAATTGAGAGAGAAATATTGAAAAAATACTCTCCGTCAGCTGAATGGCTTGTAAAAAAAACCCACATTCAGATTCACAATTATTTGAGCATCATTAGAAAACACAGACTTAATTAGTCCGTTTGTATGTGCATGCAGGCAAAGGGGAGATGGTCACGGAATGCTACAAAATCTGTGTGCTCCTTATAGTTTGTGCCAGTCCTCCAACAAGATGGCGGTTGTGTATGCGTGGCGGTGTCATATATGACAGATGTTTGGGCGTGGCTGTGTTATATATGACAGATGTTTGGGCGTGACGATGTAATATATACTCAGATCTTTGGGCGTGACGATGTAATATATACTCAAATGTTTGGGCATGACTGTCATATATGACAGATGTTTGGGCGTGACTGTCATATATGACAGATGTTTGGGCGTGACTGTCATATATGACAGTAGTGTGGGCGTGACTGTGTCATATATCACAGACGAAGGTTAGGTGGCATGAATGTATCATATATGATAGCCATAGATTGTGTGGGCGTGACGGTGTCATATGTGACAGCCGTAAATAGTGTCAGAGTGACTGTCATATGTGACAGTTGTTTGGGCGTAACTGTGTCATATATGACAGCCGTAGGTAATAGTATGGGCGTGACAGTGTCATATGACATGTGTGGGCGTGACGGTGTCATATATGACAGCTGTAGGTCGTAGTATGGGGGTGGCTGTGTCATAATTATATAACATTTCTTTGGGCGTGATGGTGTCATATGTGACAGCCGTATATAGTGTCAGCGTGACTGTGTCATATGTGACTGCTGTTTTGGCGTGACTGTGTCATATATGACAGCCGTAGGTACAGCCCGGGGCGTCCAGACCTTTCTTACAGCAGGCCCAGGTGTAGAGCACGCGGAGTAGCCGGCCGCTGGGGTCGTACTGCTCACGGATCTGTCGTCCCTTCTTGTGGTAGCGACAGGCGCGGTTGTTGTTGTCGGGACCTTTAAAGAACTGGTTGCACCGGAGACACTGTGTCACGGCTCTACTCGTCCCAAAACCTCCTCCTCCTCCTCCTCCTCCTCCTCCGAACCCGGATCTGTGACTCGTACTCCCTCCTCCTCCACTCCCTCCTCCCACTCCGAGAAGCCCTCCTCCCCCTCCTCCTCCTCCTCTTGATTGTCTATGCCTCAGCTTCCACACCGCGATCTCCTCGCCCGTGGTGCTGAAGTAGTTGACCTGGTCCCCCTCCACGTAGGTCCTCTCTCTGCTGTACAGCGGGTCGGACTTTGACCTGCCCGGCCCCCCGTCCACGGACTCCTCCTCCAGGTGGAAGTTGGTGGAGTGGCTCTGGTTGTAGTTGAGCACGATCTGCCGCAGTTTGTGTAGCTGGTTCTTGATGATGTTCAGCTCTTTGTTGAGCCAGGCCACCTCCTTGTGCTTCTCCCTGAGCTCGGTCCCCTGCTCCTCCTTCTCCTGCTCCAGACGTTTGGCCGACTCCCGGAGACGGGTCAGAGTCTGCTGCGTGGACGAGTTGTCCACCGCTCTGGGGAACGGATAAAAACAAGGGGG